AAAAAAATTATTTAACAAATAAATTATAATAAAAATATATAATAAACTCAATAAAACAAACAAAGATAAGAATTAATAATATTGTTATATCTTATATCTTTTCAAAAACTTACTTTAAATGTAAATAAATGATAAAAATAATGTTTAGATTCAATAGATTATAATTGTAATTGTAACACACATATTGTATTGTATAGAAAAATATTATTTTAAATTAAAATATAAAAAATAAAATTTAAATATTATAAATAAATAATAAGTTAGGATGATTGTAAAATTTATAAATATTTAGAATATATTTATTATTTATCATTAACTTTATAATTTAAATATTAACATAACTTTATTTTAAAAAATATTTATATAAAAAATATTTTGTACGTGTGTCATATATAAATAATTTTTTTAAAAAAAATTAATATTATATTAATCATGTAATAATTAAATTGTATTACTATATTAAGCAATATAAAATAGTAAATAATTTTTTTATTAAAAATATGAAAAATATAATTTTTATAAATTACTTTATTAGTAAATATATTTTTATGTTAATAAATTAAAAACAATTATTTATATGTTATATAAATATCTATTTTTTATTAGATAGAATTATATATCTTTATATATGCATTCTTTTATTTTGAGAAAGACAAATATTTAAATTAAAATTTTTCAACCTCTTATTTTGCATTGAAAAAAAATTTTAAAATAGAGATTTATAAATTAAAAGACAGTGTTACTCAAAAACAGAAATTTGACCATTTAAAAAAAAATGACCTATAAAAGAATTGAGTAGAAAACATTAGCATAAAATTACATAAAATAAACAATAAAATCCTTATCTTGACCAAAATTTCATAAACAAATCTACAAAAACTTTCTGAAAAACTAAAAGTGAGTTAGGTTCTTATTTTCTTGAATTTCTAGTTGTTCCGTTTCATGATTCTTTATTGTGTAAGCTAGGAAAAAAGTTAATTATTTATTGCAAAATAACATATCTAAATTAGAATAAAAATTAATATTTAAAAGGAAAAGGTAGAACAATATATTTAATTATTGCAATGCATTTTGCAAAGAGAGCTTCCTTTTTTCACAACACATGTTAGTATTATATTTTAAAATTAAACAATAGTATATACTCGCTGACTTTCTTTGATATTCACGTAAGTAAAGTCTGGTATTAAAAAATTATACTTAAAATATAAAAAATATAGAAATTTACAATATTAATAGAGTATTTTAGCTGCATTGTATAAATAGAAAATTATTCACATTCTAAACATACATTCTGCATATAAAAAAAAAAGATAAAAGGAAAGAAAAAAAAAACTTAAAAATAACTTGATAGTTAATATTTATTTATGTTAAATGATAAAAAAAAATCAATAAATTATGAATCCCCTATATATCGTATAAAAAATAAATTAATGTCATATGTAACTCCTTATAAAAAAAAATAAACTTATATAACTTTATATAATATAAGAATACAAAAATTAAATACGTAATTATATAATAAAATTTAAATATAAATAATATATATATATATATAATTATGTATATGTATTTATTTTTATTAAAATTTATGGGTATTATTTTTATATTTATACATGTACCCTTTTACCAAATAAAACATGGTACGCGGTTGCCAGCAAATATTGTACGTACCTATTAAATACTTCAGTTGTCACTGATACTATCCGCCTTGACAAAATTTCTCTGTTAATATTAAATTACTTTTCTAAGTAATGAATCGGCATAGGACACTAAAGGTAAGAATTTATTCATTTAATGGATTTGGATCTCAGCAGTAGAGATCTTTGCCGTTAAATTTATATCCAATGAATATAATATTTTATAGTTAATTAATTTTATGTTTCACCACAGACAATTTTTCTGTGGCTGCGCGGAGGATCCAAATTCTCCATTCAATATTTACACTTAGCTTAGCTTTTCAATCAATAAGATATTGGTAGACTTTTATTACTAATTTTTGCTTCAAATAATAAGATTACCTTGCTTGATATTTCTTAGTAGGTATTTTAAATAGTTTAAGTAATACTTAAAAATTAATCATTTTACAAAGTAAAGGCTTTAACTTTTTCAGAAACGATAAAATCTATCTCTGGGCAACCCATAGCATGTTTTTTCATGACTTCACGTAGAGAATACTAATATGTCTGCAAAAGTGTTGCTTAGAGTAAATTCAGCACTCCTTTTTAACTGTGTTTTATAATGTGAATTGGCATTTATTCTTGTTTATGCTGCCATTAGTGCCTCAGCATTTCAAATGATATCTACAAAATTTGGTATTAGAATGTCTGGCACATGAAGTCAAGCTTTTGTTTGTTTTTAGTGATTTTAATTAAAGTTTACAGGAGAAGGCACACGGTTAGCTTATGAATCTTATACAATGTAGTTTTCATGTACTCATTACAAGAATCTGTATTCTGGACCCGATACAACATTTGGGACTACTTCCATATGTTATGCTCAGCTGTCTGTCTGCCCGTAATTTCGTTGATAAATAGATTCTTTGTTGTCTTTCATATTAGTAGGGACAACCTTTGTTCCTTAACATTTTGAGGGAGTTAAAAAGACTATGGGATAGAACATTTTCTTCTATTTCATTCTACTCAATTTTACTATTTTTAGTAGAACCAAAATTTACCATTTGGTAACTGTTTTAATTTAAAAATGCACAAAATATAGAATAGAACCCAAAAATTATGTTTTGTCATTTAAAAAGTTTATCAAATGCTACCTATATATCGCCTTTATACCTCAAGAATCTTGTCCTGAATAATTATTAACCCTTCCAATCTGGCATTAATGGGTGCTTGATTACAAGGTGCTTTATGCAGATGGTCCCCCCCCCCCCCCTTTCCTGCTTTTCTTTTTCTGTGCATGATCCGCGAATAGTTTGTGTGAGCAGCAAAGCAACTGCAACAATTGGCAATATCAAGAATTATGTTACAAATTTGGTGCATATGCAAAAATACCCTGCTTAATGGATGAAAACCTCTTCCATTAATATCAAATTGATATCAAAGATAGGCCTTTCTTTCAAACTTCAAGAATATCCATGCTTTGCTTTTTTATTTGTAACTATAGTAATCTATGGGGCTCTGTTGAATGGTTTCACTGGGTGATGTGTATTCCAGTGAACAATGGAAATGGTCTAGAAGCAACGAAATATCATTCCCCCTCTAATTCTGACACACTATGATGGAACCTCTTCAACAATAACATTTCTCCTTTTTAACTTTTTAATAGATTTTTTCCTTTTCAGTGATTGAAACAATTATGCATTTATAACCAAACAAAGGAAAATATACTACCCCACTAAAAGTAGTTAAAAAAGCAGGGATAATAAAATCCTTAAAAGTTAATCATTCCCAGAATTAAAGCATGAATGAGCACGACTTCAAAATACAGAAGGTAGTGACTGGGTTTAAGAAATAATTGAACTTTTTACTTCTTTTTTTTTTCATTAATTTCGCTTGAAATAGAGGCCATCGATGGTTTTTTAATTTTTCCGATGTATCCTTATAATCTTTGTTCTTCTTCTGACAGTAAAATAAACGCTACATATAGTTCAACCTATATTGCTGAGTTTTTGGACAAAGTACAATGAATATAGCAGGGGTTCAAAGCAAACTAGGTTTGTTGTTGTTAATTATTTACACCATTATTTTATGCGTGGTTGCTGCCGTACAAGAAAGAATTCAAGTAGACAATGACTTGTGTGGATTTAGATCGCCTGCATTGCAGTGCGGGAACTGCTGCAGTCTTAGATTGCTTAAGCAAAACTCTTTTGTCTAAGCAAATTTTGGTAAAAAAAAATTTTACATTAAGTTAAAAAAAAATTCATTTAAATCAATTTTGGTTAAGCGAATTTAAAGAGAACAGCAAAAAAAACTAGAAGAAAAAGAGAAAAAGAGAGGCCGAGAGGGAGACTAAAGATGGGACAAGAACACAAGAGATAAGAAAAGCAGAAAAAAGCTAATAAAGGGAAGGAAAAAATGTTAGATGAGGAGAGAAGGGGAAGGGGATGAGTAGGGGTGAAGGGGAGAAGAGAGCTAGATGAGAAGAGAGGGAGAAGGAGATTGAGTGAGCCCAAGGAAGAAGAGATTGGAAGGGGGAGGAAAGATAGGGACTGAGTGAAATGGAGGAAGGAAGAGAGTAGCTGAATTGAAAGAAGAAGATAAGAGAGGAAACACAGATAAAAGGAAATATTTTCTTTTTCGCTTAAACGAATTCAGATATGCAGAAAGAAGATGATGTTACAGTATATTTTTGCTTGCGTTTAAGCGAATTTTCTGTCTTAAGCGAAATTAGTTTAAGCGAATTTTTTTTAGCTTAAAGTAAAATTATTTTTTTACCAAATTTTGCTTAAGTCAAAAAATTTTGCTTAAACAAATCCAAAATTGCAGCCTTCAGTTCCCGTCAAAACTGCAGGCGATCCAGATCTGACTTGTGTTGTGTTATGAGTGTATAGTTTTATTAATGCTACAATTATTGGATTTTTCAATTATTTATTGCTCTCACATGCCCTATATTTTCAGTGATATGATGGTATCATTATTTTGTAGCTGCTCTCGCTGACTGTTAAGGCATATCCATTTTTATGTCATTTTTCAGCAATTCACTTGAATAATGTTTTGTTACTCAGCATTTTATATCTGTATTTTCTTCTAACTTATTGATGATAGTTTTTTGTGGCGAATATATTAACATGTATTTATATTCTTATTGAATTTGACTACAAGAGAAAAAAAAAACGGGTTTGTGTTAGAAAAATTGATGTATACATTCGTTCTAGCGCAGGCAATATATTCTTAAGTTCTTTGAAACCTTGTAATAATTAAGTATCTGAAACATTTGATTCCTTTTGTTGACCTTTTCTCAGCCGGACCCTGAGTGCTACACTCAGCATTAGCCATTAAGGCAACTTTTGCATCAGTAATCATACATACATAAACAAATTTTCTTATTGACCTGCCAAGAATACAAATCTCACCATTCATCAATATGTAATCTCTTTTTCTCCTTTTTTTTTTCTCTACTACCAATATTCAATAACCCTCCTTTGCGTTCTGTATGGTCTGTGTCCAAACAAGTCTTAGCATAAAACAATTTTCATTTTCCCATATATATGTGTGTGTGTCATGAGGGACTTATCATTTTCAGATTTATTAATAATAAAATGTGGAGGGTGTGGTCATGAGAAGGTTATTGCTTTTTGAAATATACGTAGGCCTGGGGCGAGTATTGCCAATGGGTCATAAGAAGATTTTCTTTGCAGAAAAGTCTCCCACTGAGGCCCAAAATGGGCCCGCCATTCTTGCTGTGTATTGTAGTGGGGCAAATATTGCTTCACTCCAAGATGGGCTCTTTCACAGAATTCTAAGATTCTTTTGTTCTGATTTAGTATGTGTTGAAGCCCATCAGTCCCATTGGAAGAAGGTACTGCAGATGTAAGAAATGCCACTAAATAGAAAACATCTTCATTTGGAATAACCACAGAAGTTCTGTTGTCCCACCTGCAAAACATTACTTGTCATTATTGAACTATTGACGGCTAAAAGATTAGTTTGAGTTAATGTTTCCTGAAAGAACCATTACTTTGATTTATTTACTGGGTAGATAAGGACGGGGCCATTGCTTGTTTCTGTTAGGATATTCCCGAAGATTACTTCAGCAAAGTTGTGTATTTTGCTTTTGGGTATTAGAAGATTGAGCCAAGGGTGTGGAACATCCCACAACCCTTTTGAACGCAATTTGACCTCGGATACATGCACCCTGTCTAAGAAATCTACGAGTGTGACTTCTGTTGAAAAAAGGGTTGATGGGATGTAGCTTAAACGGGACAAATGTTTCTCAACTTGCTGCACAAAAAACAAAGGTGTTGATGTAGCTTTTTTTTTTCCTTCGCGAAAGAAAAGCTTTAACTACATGGGTTGTTAATTATCTATTTATGCTCATAAAAAAATCAATCTTGAGATGGAGTTTTTCTCAAGGTACCTGGCTTACTGCATGGTTTACTTCCAAGTTGAAGTATTTGGCTAATTCAAGACAGAAGAGAGTTCTTCCATCAGACTTGAACTGACTAGCCTGAACTGGGTCTTGTGGGTTGAACGATAATCTCCAATTATTTAGCAGGCCAGTTCTGTTTATTATAACAAATCCTTCAATGTAATCAAACGTGTTTTCTTCAGATATTAATCGCTCTTGGTCCCTTATGAATTCTGTGAAATCTGAGTACAGCACTCTAATCCATTTTACCTGGTCCAATTCCCAAAAAAAGTAGAATTTTTCAGTAATCACAATCGATGGGGTGCTCCCAAAACAATAAAATAGACTTTGCTTTTTTAGCATAGTCATTGATGCATTACCATGGCAGGTGCAGGTTCAAGGATAATTCTTGCGCGGGTTATAATGCCAAACTGGCCAAGCCCTCCAAGAACACTGTGAAAGAGTTCCTCATTTTGCTCCGCGGAACAGTTTACCACCTCCCCTGTTCCTGCAATCATTCATTTATTCATCACAAGAGAAAGCATTATTTTCTTTATCCGAAAACTTATTTAAAACATAACAATTGGATACTTTTTTTTATAAGTTATCAACAAGGAATACTAGGGAGAAGCCACTATTTCAGGTTCAAATAAATTATTAGTTCAGAAAAGACAAAACAGTAGCCGCTGAAATCACACAACTCTCATTCTCATCTGTCATATGGTGGTATTCAGAAGATGGTTTTTATTTACAACACAAACCTGTAACAATCTCCAGTTGCTGAACATTGCTTATCTGGGGACCATGCCTAAATGCTTGTCCACTGACACCAGCGTTGGAGAGAGTGCCACCAACCGTGAGATGTAGGTAATCAGTCCAAGATCTTGGAGCCAACCCGTACCTTAGAGTCTCATGCAGAATGTTTATCCACAACTCTCCACCTGAGACATCTACGTACGGAGAATTTCCCACATGTACCTGCATTTCTGGGACTTTTAGTGATTCCATGTTGATAACAACTCCTCCATGAGTTTGTGCTTGGCCCTGGAGTGAATGGCCGTGGCCCCTTGCTGCAACTGTGAGCTGTGAACTGGGACCCATCAACCATATATGCTTTATGGTGGCCGCAATATCAGAAACTGATTCTGGATGCAGCACTGCCATTGGATGATATTGGTACCTGTTCCCAAAGTCCCTCGCTGCATGGCTAAGGCTAGCTTCATCAAAGTTCAAATGGCCCCCAAGGGAAAGTGCTTTCAGTGGTGAAGGGATACTCGAAAGACACAAGTTAACCTGAATGGCTATGCAACTGAGGAACAAGATCGTGAGGAGTAGAATGTTGTCTTCTCCAACGAGGCTAAGAGATGGGTATCTCATTCTTTTGTCTGTTATCAAAGTGTTATATGATAGTAGTTGAAGGAATAAACAGCTTGGTCTTGTAGGTATTGTTTCTTTGTGAGCACGAGTAAAAGGAGGAAGCGATGGAGAATGGAGGAACTTGAGGTTTGGGCCAGAATTTAAAGTAGTTTTTGGATGACTGAGTCAACCCTTCTTCAGATAACTTATGACTTATGAGAGAATGCGTATGAGGACTGCCAACTTGGAAAGAAGTAGAAGAGTCTTAGGATTTTGTTATGGTGTAGCTTGTTTGTTTTAAAGAGAAGCCAAAGCCATCATATAGAAGCCAAGTTGAATAGGAAAAGTAACAACAAAGAGAGATCTCACAAATCTTCAACTTTTTTTTTTCTTAAACAGTGGTAACCACAATTACATCTTAACACGAGGGAAAGACATGTTTCAAATCTTTGTTCATTGACCAGTTTAAGAATACTTTTCCGAATTTAGAAATAAGTCCTTGCTTGTGGCACAGTGCGCATTTCTCATTTGCCCCTCACTTCACTTCTGTCTCTACCTTACACGTAATTTGAGGTGTTGAGTCCACTACTGTGGGAATGTAAACATCGCGTATCCTGCTATTAGATTGGATGAGAAGGACTCGCGGGTTGCTTTGAATTCATTAGAGAATGAAAGTGAGAGATGAAGTTGGTGGGGTATGTGTTGGTCCATGAGACACGTGATGCTTCATTCATTTGTCATGTATTGTAGGGACCTCTCTTGTAGGCCATGAAAAGAAAGAAGAAGAGGAAAATGGGAGTGGCAGCTTCAGAGAAACAAATGAAACAATGCTAACTCAACTATGCACAACTACCACTGTTCTGCTTCTGCTCTCGTGTAGAATCTTTAGTACCAAGCTATTGGACAAGTCTTGAGTGATTCTCTTTTCCAATACTTTCTTCTTCTTTTTTTATTTTTACTTGTTATTTGTACTACCATAACTTTATCCTTTTCATTGCAACTAGTATCTTGGTCCAATGAGAAATTTTGAAGCTTCATAGAGTACCATCTTACCTCCATTATCGCCAAATCAAATTGTCACTTCATTAGATTGGCAAAAATGCTTTTGGTGATCTTGTGTTGAAATAATATCGGGTCATCGATGGGATATGTGGTCCTGGAAATCCTCCATTGCTCCCTTTAGGAAACATTCACCAATGGGCAATAGCCTGTAGACTGCAGCATCCATGTCTCATGTTCTTCACAAAGAAACATAAACGCAATAATTGATAGTCTGTAGTTTTCTCTACCTCTCTCTCTTTCCTCTGCAAGTCTCTCATTCAGAAGTTGCACTGAGCATATTCTATTTAATTTTTCTGGATTCTATACATTATTTCTGTGTTACTAAACAATGTCTTTTTCCAACAAACTTAAGTGTAGTCCAACATGTGCTGATACTACTGATCTCCGATCAGAGTTTAGAGTTTCAGTTCAATAAATGTGGATGGACATTTAATATCTGTGTATTAATATTTAATGTCAACTTTTATTATGCATGTTATTAAGGTGCATGAAATTACAACTCGACTGAACAACAACACCAACGATAGTATTACACAAAAGTTATATATATATATATATATATATTTTTTTTTTTTTATTTTTTTTTTCTATAGTTATATCTAATTTACTCATTTTGGCCTGTGCCTTTTTATTAGTTACTTCTTTGTTCTTCTACAACACTTGGATACTGCCCAAGTTCCACGTCAAATATAAAGACCACTCCAATTAGACTCTAGGATCTAGATCATACAAAGGGGCACCACAATGAAAGTTAATGGAAGTGTTGGCCTTCCATATTATACGTATCTCATAACCTGTATTCAATTACATAAAAGGATTATGGGTGAATAGCCTTGCTTTGGGCTTTGACGGCTTCATCATTGGGAGGATAGTGGAGGAACTCGTTTTCGTTCGTAGAAAATATACACGGAATCTATTAAAGGACTCATTGGAATGAAAGAGACATTAATCATGACATGAAAAGCAATTTGATAAAAAAAAAATTATAATATTAAATTAAGGTTGTAAGAAATAGACTCAAGCACACGGCTATTGAAGGGCATAGTAGTGTCTAGTGTGAAAATGTGAACGCAATTGACATAGTCTTCTCATTTGTGGTTGAAAGCCTAATCCTTTTGATGACTTGCTTTTTAGAAGGAAACCAGCTATTAATAAAGACATGAAAACAAAGTTATTGTTATAGTAGAGTAATTATCATGTGGAGCTACTCATAACACGTATAGTGAGTGATAGCCACATCATGGGGCCTTAAGTGACCATTGATGCTTAGACTTTGGAGAGCAAAATCCCCTTTTAGACAATGTAAAATATGAAGACTTTGAACGCTGAACAATTGTCATGTTTCACAATCAATGGGCGGCGATAATCTTTTACAGTTTCCATTATCACACTCTTTTAAATCATTTTATTAACAAAATAAGACAAGAATGCCACATCAGTTTCATTTCGAGTATTCGATAGCATACCCATGAATTTCCTCATTGACAAATGTTAATATGGCAAATAGGATAAGTTTCCAACAACAAAAACGAGACAGGTGCCTTTGGCATTGACACATAAGGGTGCTCTCAACCTTCATCATCTTGCCATGGAGAAGTAAATAATTGTATTTAGACGGGTCCGTAGGACACAATTGATTTAGTTTATAATATTATTCTTATCATGTTTCACATCCCACTTTATTGCACTTTAACATATGTTTCCTTGTCTCATCCCAAGCATAGAGATTAAATACCAATGCTAAATCGTTTCTTATCCATTGTTGTCGTTAGTAAACTTCATCATCACCAATGTAGAAATTACAAGTCTCTTTCTCTGTCAAATGTGAAAATATATTTTTTAATTAAGTAATATTCTTCTATTAACTAATTCTCACAACATATTTTACAATAAGAGAAAAGAGACGAAAATGTGAAACAAGATATCTCAAGTGATAGAGAGAGATAAGAGAAAAAAATGTGTTATACAAAATTCAGTGTTGTGAGAATTAATTAGTTGTTAAGATTAGCATCACCCTTTTTAATTTTCATTAAAAACTAAATATATAACATATTATATCCACCGTATTGATAGAATTTGAACAGTTTTAAGATTTCAAGTATTAATAAGTTGAAGAGGATGAATGTGAATAAGTAAAATTAACAAAAGTTTACCAATATGGATACAATTATACATTTTGCATGTTCAGTTTACATTGCAGGAATCAATGACGATTATATTAATACATTTGAGGCTGAAATTTACGACTCTAAAAAGTCGGAATATGAGTTGAGAGTATATTCTTATTGAGAAAAGACACAACAGCAAAGACACAAGATATATAATCAGCATAGACTACAAAGTAAATTCCAGCGATTTCCATTCACCTAATTGACCAGTTATTATTTTTCTATTGTTATGATTACAGGATGTTTCATGACAAAGTTAAATATTAAATGAGGCTTACTAAGCAAACTCCCATTTGTAGAAAGTTTCATAAGTCAAAGTACTTAATCCATGGTGGGGTTATGGTGGTTTATCTCAAAATTCACAAACAAAGTAGGTTTTTCCTTCCAATTATAATACATGTTCATCACCACTATCTTCTAACACCTACGCAACATAAATAAGAAAAAAAAAAAATCCTTTATTGGGCTAATACTATATTCTCGTTTAGTATTGTTCTATTGATTCTTTTAATACTATATAATAAAAATATATTGATATTTTAAAATTATAAAATATTAAGACTTTATTTATTAAGTTTTTATTTTAAGTTCTCTAAAAACATTTACTAAAAAGTATTAAATATTTCAAATTACTTTAAAAAGTAGGTATTAAGTAATTTTATATTTTTATATAATAAATATTTGTTGCATATAAATTTTTATATGCACCCATCGCATAAATTAAAAGAAACAATTTTTTTTTTTTAAAGTATCCCCATAGCTTACAATCGGCACTAGAGTTTTCCTATAATGAAAAAAGTTTATCTAAAAGTGAACTATTTGTAAATTGAAAAAAAATGTGATTAAATATTTATAAATTAATATTATATATTTTAAATAAAATAAAATAAATTATTTTTTAAACATTTTTCTAATAAACTCATTTTATAAAAGCTTAATCCCAACATATACTAGCCTGCTATAACCTAGACATGTTAGTATAGCAGTAGCTAGTTCTCACATAATTAACACAACCCTTTACAACACATGGAGAGCACATCGAATTGAGCTAGGTTAATTAATAGCCTAGAAGTAGCTTAGTGGACACATTTTGACTTGGATAATGTGTACAATAAGAAAATATTATAAGGTATCATAAGAGTATCACGTCATTCCACCTTAAAAAATAAATTAGCACAGTCACATAATTATATACGTTATTATATTAAGAAACATTGTCTAAAGCTGATTAGTGTTACTTTGGAAAATTGTTATTAAAAATTTCATTGATTAAGAATGTATTAAAAATTATAAATATAGTAACTAATATCTGTTTTAAAAAAGTATTGTTAAAGTGGGAGTATTACTTCTTGAATACATTAGAATTTATCTTTATTAAGGAATGTAAAGTTCTAAAATAGGTAGAGGAACTTCCAACAATATCCATATAAAATTGGAAAATGGAAAAGGGGCTGAAACCTCCTCCATCGAGCAAGGAAGGAGATGTTGATAGTGGAGAAGGAGGAATGTATACATTCATAAATATCATGAAAGTCAAAGGAAAAGAAAGATGAACAAAAAAGGATGAGAAAAGAAAATTACATTTAAGGTGAATATTGATAAATATTTTTATAATATTGATTAAAAAATGAAAATATTTTTTTCATTAAAAATTATGAATATATCTTATTTAAATTATATAAATGATATATATTATTGCATTAAGTTTTTTTTATAATATTTTGAATTTATTTATTAAAATTTAAGTAGAATGTATTGATAAAAAAAAGGATAGATATTATTATCCTATCATAAATTGATATAAATTAATTAAAAGTATCAACATCCCCTTCCATTCTTCAATAGTGGGAACTTAAAATAGAATTTGGAAAGATTAAAAAATAAAATTTTGTTTGTCCAGCTATTCATATTTTTTGTGCTCCCTTTGCATTTTGTCTCTTGTGATTTTTTCCTGCCCCTATGAATGTCTTTGTTATCCTCGTTGCATCAAAATGAG